ACCTTAACCTTCCTCACCTGACTTAAAAACCTTCCTCACCTGACCTTAACCCTTCCTCACCTGACTTAAACCCTTCCTCACCTGACCTTAACCCTTCCTCACCTGACCTAAAACCCTTCCTCACCTGACCTAAACCCTTCCTCACCTGACCTTAACCCTTCCTCGCCTGACCTAAACCCTTCCTCACCTGACCTAACCCCTTCCTCATCTGACCTTAACCCTTCCTCACCTGACCTTAACCCTTCCTCACCCGACCTAAACCCTTCCTCACCTGACCTAAACTCTTCCTCACCTGACCTTAACCCTTCCTCGCCTGACCTAAACTCTTCCTCACCTGACCTTAACCCTTCCTCACCTGACCTTAACCCTTCCTCACCCGACCTAAACCCTTCCTCACCCGACCTAAACCCTTCCTCACCTGACCTAAACCCTTCCTCACCTGACCTAAACTCTTCCTCGCCTGACCTAAACCCTTCCTCACCTGACCTAAACCCTTCCTCACCTGACCTAACCCCTTCCTCTTCTGACCTAAACCCTTCCTCGCCTGACCTAAACCCTTCCTCATCTGACCTAACCCCTTCCTCACCTGACCTAAACCCTTCCTCGCCTGACCTAACCCCTTCCTCATCTGACCTAAACCCTTCCTCACCTGACCTAAACCCTTCCTGACCTGACCTAAACCCTTCCTCGCCTGACCTTAACCCTTCCTCACCTGACTTAAACCCTTCCTCACCTGACCTAAACCCTTCCTCACCTGACTTAAACCCTTCCTCACCTGACCTAAACCCTTCCTCGCCTGACCTTAACCCTTCCTCATCTGACCTTAACCCTTCCTCACCTGACCTTAACCCTTCCTCACCTGACCTTAACCCTCCTCACCTGACCTAAACCCTTCCTCACCCTGACTTAAACCCTTCCTCGTCTGACCTTAACCCTTCCTCGTCTGACCTTAACCCTTCCTCACCTGAACCTTAACCCTTCCTCACCTGACCTAACCCCTTCCTCACCTGAACCTAAAACCCTTCCTCACCCTGTCCTAAACCCTTCCTTCACCTGACCTAAACCCTTCCGCCACCTGACCTAAATCCTCTCCTCACCTGACCTAAACCCTTACTCGCCTGACCTTAACCCTTCCTCACCTGACCTAAACCCTTCCTCACCTGACCTAACCCCTTCCTCACCTGACCTAAACCCTTCCTCACATGACCTAAACCTTTCCTCATCTGACCTTAAACCTTCCTCACCTGCTAAAACCCTTCCTCACCTGACCTAACCCCTTCCTCACCTGACCTTAACCCTTCCTCACCTGACCTTAACCCTTCCTCACCTGACCTAACCCCTTCCTCACCTGACCTAAACCCTTCCTCACCTGTCCTAAACCCTTCCTCACCTGACCTAAACCCTTCCTCACCTGACCTAAACCCTTCCTCACCTGACCTAAACCCTTCCTCACCTGACCTAAACCCTTCCTCACCTGACCTAAATCCTTCCTCACCTGACCTTAACCCTTCCTCGTCTGACCTTAACCCTTCCTCACCTGACCTTAACCCTTCCTCACCTGACCTAAACCCTTCCTCACATGACCTAAACCCTTCCTCATCTGACCTTAAACCTTCCTCACCTGCTAAACCCTTCCTCACCTGACCTAACCCCTTCCTCACCTGACCTTAACCCTTCCTCACCTGACCTAAACCCTTCCTCACCTGACCTTAACCCTTCCTCACCTGACCTAACCCCTTCCTCACCTGACCTAAACCCTTCCTCACCTGACCTAAACCCTTCCTCACCTGACCTAACCCCTTCCTCACCTGACCTTAACCCTTCCTCACCTGACCTAAACCCTTCCTCACCTGACCTAACCCCTTCCTCACCTGACCTAAACCCTTCCTCGCCTGACCTAAACCCTATAGAGAACTTGTGGGCCCTTCTTAAAGGGAGATTTCCAGTGAAGGAAACTCCTCTCTGAACAGAGTCTGGGAGGCTGTGGTTGATCGTCAACAGATCCAGAAACTGACAGATTCAATCCATGGAAGGGTCGTGATTGTTATTGAAGATAAGGGTGGCTGTAAATCTCAGAAATGTTTATTTGTAAATGTCGAGTTGTTTGTTTATTATTCTCACTTTAATAAAGGTGAAAATAAATAAGTGAGATGGTGACATTTTTGTTTTTCCTTTAGTTGCATATTAATTCTGAACAACAGTTGCCCAGTAATTGTGCACACAGATATATTCTGTAGTTTTTCAATAATTAAAATAATTCCTCAAAAATACAACTTGCCTAATAATTGTTCACACAGTGAACATTAAATGAACAAGTCATTTAAATATTGTATGTTTCTTGCACATGGAAAAGCTGCCTAAGAGGGAAAAAAGTGGTTGAACATCTTAGATAAATATTAAATTGACTTTGCTAAGCTTGTGAGTGGGTAACACAGTGCACATGTTGCTCTTTTCCTCCTTAGCATAGAGTTGTAGGTGGCATACCTGTCTGTTTCCTGTCCCGTCACTGTGGGCACGCTTTCTCTCTTTTACACACAAAAACACTAACCTGGCATGTCCAATCAGCTCACAGCATTGTCACACAAGCTAACTGATTCCAGTGCTCTGTTTATTGGCCTGTTACAGAGTTGTTAAACACAATTGTGTGGAATACCAAACATGACCCTCCACAACCTCCACTGAACTTTTACACCTAAAACTGTGACATTAAACACACACTCTCACTTTCTGCTTGGACCTGTTAGAACAGAAATGTTCTTTTCCTGCCACCATTCACAACACTGGGTTTCCCTCTGCTTCCACCAGCTCTTCTCTCAACCCTCCTGCAGGGTTTCCTTTTTTCCCCTTGCTCCAGTCATAGCATCTCTTTTCACAGATTTTCCATCCTGAATCAATGAATGGTGATGGTAAGAGACCTGGACACCACCAGCCAGACCTCAGCTGTGTCAGGGACAGGGCCTGGTATTGGTACTGGTAATGAAATGGGTCAGAGAGATGAGCTGTCAGTGGTTTTGGCAGTGATATCTATGGGATATTCTGACCTCAGACTATTTCTCTCTTTGGATATGTCAGCACCATGCATCAGTGCCAGTGCTCCCCCCTCTGCCCTTTGTTACCCCTTTGTGTCCCTGTGTTGGTGTGTGTGAGTCACAGCTCTCACATGAGACGGCAGAGAGGAGCCTTGAGGATGTTACCAGGGTGACCTTCTGTCAGCCCAGGGAACAGAGTGGATTGTTCAGCCCAGTCCATTCCCAAAGGCTCTGAGTTCATGTTCGTAGAAGAGTGAGACAACCAGAGAAACAAGGATTGGCATTTACAATTATAAGCCAATATATTTGACTGGTCATTTGAGTACATCTTAGCATACCTTGTTCTAAATGGAGGTTTGATATTCTGCCTTTAAATGACTAAATGTTTCCTCTGCCTGAGAAAGTAGATGATTTCTATATTAGTTTGTATAATTATCTATTAAAGTATGATTTAGCATTGCCATATACATATACTAGACACAGATGTATACAACTGTTGATTAGTCAATTATTAAAACTATAAATTATACTATACAACTGATATTGCATTATGTAAGTAAGTTATTAAATAATTAAAGCATTTACTGGCTTCAGTTTAAGCCACTTAAACCTCTTTTTAAGTTTGTAATCACTTCGTTTTTTGGTACTCGTCGAGACATAAGATACATTTTATATCATCTCACTGGGCTCTTCATACTTCTAATAAGCATTTTTTTTCTTAAACTTTCTTGACATTCTTGGGGAAAACAGGTTTTATAGTATAAGTAGAAAGGCCTTACACTAAATACATCATTAACTGACATTGCCACACCCAAGTTTTGATCAAAATCTAATATAATTTTGATGGTGGAGGCATGGCCGGAGCAGAAGAAGAAGTATTTTTGCAATAGTGTGACTGAAGCAAGCTGTCCAGCAGGGGAGCGTTATCAGAGCGGAGTCACCGTGTTCCAGCCAGCAGGTTCCGTGTGTCGGCCTGCTTTACAGCTTAACCCCGCTAAGATCAGCAGCAGGCCAGGCAGTGTCAATGGATTTTCTTCCTGCGTGCCAGCTCTTAAAAAGGCCCAGGCCTGATGTGTCAGTGTGCAAAAGTGTTCAGATTTCAAACCGCTCTTTGAAGAGTAATCAAAAGAGGAAGCAGCGTGAGATGAGTGTGTAACCATATCTCTCACTCCTTCTCTCTTATTCTCCTTTTCTCTGTTTCTCATTCACATCTCATGCTTTTTTTTCTTTTCTGACATTCTTGCCCTCCCATCAAAGCTGGAAGAACCAGCTTCCATATATAGGCGTTCCAACATTTCTGCGTGTGATATTAGCAAAAGGCGGCATATTTCTATGCAAACATCAGTGGAGGGTGTGCATCTGTGTGTGTGTACTGTACACTGAACAAATGACAGTGTAACAGCTCATTAAACAGAGCAGCTCTCTGACTGACATGCACACACAAGATAAGAAGTACTTTATTGATCCCAATTTGGGGAAGTTTTGCGTTGCAGCAGCATAAAAAGAGACAGCCTCTCTCAAACGCAGTCTGAGGTTCTGTCCCCTACTGCTGCTTTTACCCACAGAGAGCCGCTAACCAAACTCTCCATCACCAAGACATCATCCGTCAGGATGAGACTCACTCTCTGACTCGTGGCATGTTGAGTCCTTTCATCATCTGAAGGAGAGAATGTTCACAACCCTGCTTTATGCATATTCAGAAGTCTGAGTGTGGTCATCTCTTAACACAGCTGATGAAGAGAGCCTCACAAACAGGTGCTAGCTGATCTTCAATAGGGCGCCCTTCCCCAAGGCCAAACACTGTACTGTACGCACGGAGAAACGTGAACTGAGGCAAGGACAGAAGGGGAGAGTTAATATTAAGAGACATGTTAAAAAAGTATCTGTTAAGGGCTGTTTTAGGGGGGCTGAGATCGGTCATGTGACTAACTAAAGTCAACATGACTTCCTTATATTTCTCTCCCTCTCCAGTTGGAGCTGCAGTCGTGCTGTGTGTTCCTGCCTAATGACAGCCTGCCCTCCCCGAGCACCATCATCTGCGGGGACATTCCTGGCACCGTCCGCAGTTGGTACCACAACCAGGCCTCCATGCCCGGGACCCTGGTGGTCTGCCTGCCACAGATCAGTGTGCTCAGTGCTGGGCACAAGTACATGGAGCCGCTGCAGGAGCTCCCCTTTGTGGTCGCCAAGCCCATCTTGGAGGAAGGTAGGTCTGCATACTGTATCTAATGAAATCTCAACTTGAATTAGGATTAATGAAATACTGGGAGAAGAACAATCACCTAGTTGCACAGTGAGGACTCCAAATGCCAAAAAACAATGATTTCAAAGTTTTAAACGAGAACACAACATGTTAATTCAATTCAATTCAAAACCTTTATTTATCCAGGTAAAATCCCATTGAGATCAATGATCTCTTTTTCAAGGGAGACCTGCAGCAGTAGGTTAAACTTCAATAAACAATAATGGGGAGTCTTGAAAATAGATTTGAATTATTTACTAAATAAAACAAATGTGTTCATAATGCTAATATTCTACATAATGCAAATTCATCATCATTAAGGACTTTTCAACAAGCCCCAGCTAACCTTTAACCCACTACTCATTAACAATGACAAAAGACAAACAAACTGAAGTAGAGATAGGTCCTGCACATGTGGTCTGCACACCTGGCAGAGTTGACATAAGCAACACTCAGACGGGTGAGTAGTGTTTTCTCCATACAAGAAGTGTCTTTTTTTCTCTCAAAGCTTCAATGACTGCAGCATTTGGCATATGGATTTTAGAAACAGGAGTAAAAAGACAGCAAAATCAGTGACACTAGCAGCCATAACATTAACAATCCTTGCTTTTAGACATTCATTCCTACCCTTTGAAAAGGTATTTTTCAACGCTCTGGATCCAAGCTTCCTGCCCATGGGAAATGTGCTCTTCCTGGCTCCGTGCTACCAAACAAGTTCTCCTTCTCCGTTGTTCTACCAGGGTTGGCAAGATTACAAACCTAGTGTGGCTTCCTGTGTCAGACCCACACATCTTTTGTTTCAGTGGGATCTTGCCCCTTTGAGACTACTCCTTCGTGAATCTTTAATGTATTTCATGAAGCTTTCTCAGCCACTGTGCAGTATTTGGTTTTCATTTCAAAGGTAAGTGAGAGGACTTGTTTTGATCATGAACAATGCTGACTGATCCTTCTGGAAGGAAAATCCATTGCAACACTTTTTTGTTCGATTCTAGCCTGCATTCTGTTTCGTCTTCCTCTCAATTTCACATTTGCTAAGCTTGTCCTCTTTGCTATCCCTTCACATCTCTCTCATCATCCCTGCTCCTCTCAATCTCTGTCAATGTCTGCGTTGTGCAATTTCCATCCTATATCTCCTACTGCTTCATTATTTTACCACATTCTTAATGCATCCTTCTTTTTCTGTCACTCATGTCTTCCACCAGGTGATGCCTTCCCTTGGACGGTTAGCCTGAGTCAGTTCAGTGTGTACACTTTGCTGGGCCAGCAGCAGAGCCTGAGCCTGTTGGAGCCAATGGGCTGTACCTCCACACTGGCTGTCACATCCCATAAGCTTCAGAGCTGTTCTGAAGGCAGACACTCCTTTATAGTGTGCCTCCATGTTGATCTCCAAGCCGTCCACGTCAAGTGCTGCAACCCTCAGGTCAGTGTGTGTCTGAATCTCACAGAGTAGTCATTGGATTTACATGTGTATTCAAACAAATCATCCTCTTGTAAAATGTCCTGAAATATGAGCACACCATCTCGCCTCTGTCTGATTCTCTGATATCGATTGACTCCAATAAACAAACTGCTTCATCTTCTTGTTATAATTGTCATCAGAATGGAAGCATACAGCCGCTAAAGAGTGTGGCCTTGTTTGCTTTGGTCAAATACTTTGAGGTCTGAGCGGAGGAGAGTGGGGAATTGCAGCTCTCATCATCTGTGCTGCACAGTGTGTTTTTATTTTTTCTGTCAGAGCTGGATGAATAAGAACAGATTGGAAGTGGAACATGTTTGTCTCCTGGTTAGGTCTCTGTCTTTTTAGTTATTACAGCGCTATAATCACATCTACATGCACCGTTACTCATGTTCAGTTGAATTAGGTCAGTAAACACTTTATTGGAGCGACCTTTTTAGTGGTCCCACTGTTAAATGTCACTGACCACCACAGAGATGAGCCATGGTGATATTGAGGAGAATTGGAACCAGAAACAAATGAAAGGCCTTAAATCGGTAGTGGTGAAAAGTTTCCCAGCGATGAGGAGAGCCGCTGGTTTATTGAGGGAAAGTTTATTGTCTTTCTTTTCTCTTCTCGCTTTCCAATTTAGTGCCTGTGTCTGGCAAAGCTGAGAGGACTTTTTGCGATTATATGATGAGTCATTATTAGTTTTTGGGTCCAATAAAAAGCTCTCTTCTCTCTCATTGCAATCTTTCTGCTTTCTCTTCCCATCTGGTCTCCTCTCTCTCTTTTTCACTCTTTGGTGTACATGTCTGACCCTTGGGGGGTTATAAGCTCTGTACCGTTTCAAGTCGTGTAGCAGCTCTTTAAGAACTGCTGCCAGAGCATCCCTCCGCTGCAGAACAAAAGAGACCTCACACTACATACTTCTTTTTCTAATTAGCATTTCCATTTGTGGGAATGTATGTTGGAGCGCTGCACAGTCGCCTCACAATAAGAACCACTAAGACAGTTAGTGTTAGGCTGTCAAGTATTACTGTGGGTGTTGGGGTAACATCTAGCATTTGGAAAACAATCAGTTATTATCACAGTCATTATGAGTCAACAAATACAATCAAAGAGTTTGGCCTCTTAGATTCTCCTGGAATCTAAACTACATTTTCGTGATTTTAAATAACATTTTCCATAATCTGCTCTATTTACTTCATGGGAAATTAAACAGTCCTTCAAAATTGGGGTGAAATGAAATGCAACTTCAGCTTTGGAAGGGTGAGTAAACCATTAAGAATAAATACAAATACTTTGTTACACACACACACACACACACACACACACACACGACTGCTTGTGTTGCAGTTCTTTGCGTGGCACGTGTCTTCTCCAATCTGAGTGTGTGTCTCTGTGTTAATGATTCATGAGTGTCACAAGGATGGGGGTAGTAGCTGCACTTTCACTTTATCAGGACCACCTTGAATTCAGCAGACACACACATCACCACCACCACCATTTGCTTTGACCTTTGACACCTTACAGCATTTTAGTGAACACATGTGCACTCGTATATCTGTACACATGTACTCAGCTACTACACAACCCCAACAATATGTCACTTCTGTGAAGTCTTTGTATAAACTGTGCTTAGATAAAGGAACAGGAACACTCACCACTTGCATGCTCTCCCATCTTTCATCTGTGTGATTTTATGAATGACGAAGCCTCTGTTCAGTCTCCAGTTAGCTGAAATGGACCAAACAGTATAGATGACAGATATAAGGCAACCTAACTCAGCTCTATTGGGCATTCTTCACCTCCTCCACATGTGCTGCTGACTGCAGAAGGCCTTGTTGTCCTTGGTTGGACTTCCAGACTCTCAGAGAGCGAGCGTGGTGCCGTAGCTCTGCTGACGGCAGTGCAGTTGGTCGGGTATGGCAGACAGCTGTTGGCCCTGTCCCTGGAAGGCTGCTGGATCGGCGTTAGCAGCTCTTCCTGGACATGTTTGAAATGGCCCAGCTGTAATGTATTGTGCTGCTTTGATTTATGTTTATTTATGGAAGGCCTCCCTGTAATGTGTGCTAACAGTGTGTGAGTGAGCAAAATGTGTTTGGAGTAGAGAAAACGATGTTGTGTGTGCGGTCATGTGTCTGTGCACCTTTGCTTTTGAGGGACCCTCAGTGGTAGGGGCTGGGGGTTCAGTTGGCTGCAGGAGAGAAGCATTTGAAATCCAAAAATTAGCTCACGGTGAAAGAGTGCCACTTTTCTCCCTCTCTCCTCTCATCTAACAGGGAGTGAATGCATGAATTACTGAAAGCATCACATCACATTCCCCTGCCTTCCCCTCATGTTTTCCACTCTTGTTTTTGGCGTTGTTGTTGTTTAAAACTCAGGCCTCTTTTCATGTGAGCACATGATAAATAGTTGAGAACACTTGACGGCGGGCCTTCAGTTTTTCCTAACCGTGGTGAGTTTTTCAGGGAAATTGATGACACAACTTAATTTTCCTCTGTGGGTGTTTCTTTGGGAGTTTTGTTGTTATGGATGTGAACAGTGAAACCCGTAGACCATTCTGTGGCTTGCAGATGATTTCACATTGAATAGAAACATGAACACATAGCTTTTACATCACTTTTGTGAGATGAGGCCTCTTGAAATGACAAGTCTTAATACTAGAAGAGTGTACAGCTGAATAGTGAAATAGGAATGGATAGTGGTCCATTACTGGCTAAGGTCCCCGCCTCCTCTCTTTCCTTTCCTCTCAACTATAACTACGTTTTGTGTCACATACCTACGGAGCTGCCAAGCGAAATTGTCGTAATGGCTTCAGAAGTTAGAAGTACATGAGAAATACCCAGTACAGCTTTTTGAGTCAGACCTTGCCAAAAACATATATTTGAAACTGCTTTCAAATACTATAACTTGTGGTGTTTCAGGCTATCTTTCAAAGACCCCAATGGGCACAGTAAACTTCATCTATTGAAAGTGTATTCAGCTGTTTCAACAATGCCGTGGGTTAGGGTTAGATTTTTGCACACAAAGCTAAATGTGTGTGTAGAGTGAGAAAGAGCTTTCTATATTTCTGTGTTCTCAGATAAGAAACAATTAGATTGTCATGGGCATATTCATTAAAGTTGTTCCTAATGTTGGAAAAAATGTGTTTACATATCATCTCAATTAGTGCTTCTTCTCTGCCTCTGTCACTCTCCAGGTTCAGCTTTTATACGAGCTCCTCTTCAGCTGGAGCTCTACATGGGCTCGCCTCCAGAAGCATGGCATCCTGCGGCAGGCCTCCAGCGTCCTTGACCCCCCCACTGCTGTGCCGGCCTCCCCCGTGCGCAGCAGTGCCGGCACCGCCCTGCCAGACACCAGCACCTGCAGCCCGTCGGCAGACTTTGGCTCTCCCACTGAGGTTTGTTTGTTTTCATGAAATGTGAGATTCATGAATCTAAACATCTATGTTGCACAATCCTCTTCTCATAGTTTTGCCAAACAACTATTGCACATAAATAGTTTAATTCATTCAGTTAGTTTTTCACCTTTTTTTTATGTATTATCTACGTTAGTTTTTCAGTTTTTCTTTTCCCTTTCTTTCATGTGGTGCTACATGATGAATTAGTCCAGTTGACCCCACCCAACACCCAACTATGAGCTTTTTCTTTTAGCCTTTGTTGTTTACATAATTCTGCTGCTGATTCCTGAATTTGAGTGAAATGTAAGTTGTTTTATTGTCATGAGTAGTTGAGTTATTTTTAACACATACAATATGTCTTTTAAAATCAGTCTTGTTTGGAAAGGATTTTCAAAGCTGGAAACATGTCATCAGTGCTTTTGTTTTGTACATGCTTTGACTTACAGATACTCCAGGCAGGCTGTGAGTTGTGTTTGATTTGTGTAAGCTGGGCTTGATTGAGTATAAACCTGCCTCTTCATTTAGGGAAAACAATAACCTGTATTTACATTGTTTGGTCAGATAACATATCAAACCCAGAGTGTAACTGGAGTGTTGTGTGCAGGCATGTGCAAAGTCAATGGAAAAGTTACAGTCTGAGTTTTTAGGGAGCAACAGCAAATGTGGTCCCTAGATGATGCTTATCCTCGGCTTTGACAATGTGGCAGGAGTTTACTCCTTTCTCGTACAGTAGCAGAAACTATGAGTAGCTGGAGTCCGTGGCCTTGGGGCCTTGCCACCAGGGCCTTGTGTTATATGCATGTGTATATTTGTGTGTTGAAACATAGGATGCTTGTAAATGATGGGGTTGATGAGTGTTTATGTTGTTAAGCGCTGGCACCTAGCCCAAGAGTTAATGTCCTTTGACCACCTGGGCCCTGTCAGCATTGTGGGGCCCTTGGATCACAGCACAACCATCATACCGCCTCGGGAGCCAAAGAAGTGTGCCTGTGCGAGAACATACACACGAAAAAAAACCTGTTTCATATGTCCATGTGCATCTGCGTCTGCACTTGTTTCTATGCGATCAACGTGTGTTTGTTCTTGCGTCATTTGTGGACCCTCAGAGGGGGCAGCAGTGGAGGCTCTCTGTGTAGTGCGTCTATAACAAGGCCACAGGGGCCCCAGACAGCCCACTTGTCACTGTTTACCTAAGTACAAACACTGGGAGAAGTGTTTAGTCCTCTGGGAGGCCGGGTGATTGACTAAGAATGTAGGAGCTGTTTTGATAAGTCTCAGCAGCAGTGGCAGCAAATCCCCCCCCCCCCCCACACCCTTTGGCTCCATCTTTTAGATGTCCAACTACACAATGCACAATATCCTCTGACCTACAGTCACTTCCCAAATCAGTCCTCTACCCTCAGATATTGAGTGGACACAACATTTGTTCTGTTTAAATGGTATTTACGAGCTGATGAATCACAGCCCGTAATTCCTCCCCATGTTCATCCCTCTCAATCCCTCCTTTTTCCTTTTTTTATGACCCATACATTGAACCCTCCACATTTTCTCCATTCTTTCACCTGTTTTAAACAATTTTCTCTTTCCACTCTTCTTTCCGAATCTGCTCCCCCCCCCCCCATCTTTCTTCGACGCCTCCCAGCCTGCTGTTGTCTTCCAGTGTTTGGGTCTCTCTGATGAGCAAAGACAAACTCAGCAAAGAAAATAAACCCGGATCCTCAGCCCGTTTATAGCGCAGAGGCCCAGGAATCAAACTGTATACTTTACAAGTTGGCTTGTGGAGGTGTGGGAAAATAGCTCCCTCTAAGAGTGTGTGTGTGTGTGTGTGTTGGGGGCCCCAAGCTGGCAGTTCAGGCAAGGCCCACCTCCACCAAAGCCACACCACCACATCTGTTCTTCAAGGCCTCACCTTGATAAGGGGAGCAGAGGGGATTTTCTTTCATAAAAACCTGAACTCCAGCTTTTTTTTGACCTTATCAAAACACGTTCATGTTTACTTTAGTTTTATTTTTGGATTTCTTTACTTTGCTTTAAAATGTCCTCAAAGTCTTTTTTTTTTCTTTCTGGATTTTTACAACTGAACCATTTTGGGGATAATAAATAATTAGCAAATCATTTTTAATTTAAAGTCCAGTCTTTTTTTAAATGTTTGTTTTTCCAAGAACTGGAGATGTCAGTCCAATAATAAATGATCGTTCTAACGGGCCAGGGTAGAGTGATCTTATAGGAGACTAAATGTTTTTAAGTGACAGCAGTGGTTCTGGCCAGGAACCAGGTTGAGCCGGGTGTTGGATGCTGCAGTGTGACTGAGCCTCCACACGTCACATGACACAGGCTAATCCTACCCAATGGCCAGAATTGTAAACTAAACAGTGCTAAATACACACATACACACACATACATACACAAACACACACATACACACACACATGCTTACAAAGTCTTATATGTCTTATATCGGTTTTCTAGTGGTTCTCATACACTTACATTTTATTTTTAAATTTTTAAATCAGCATAATATTATTTATTTATGTTGTTGTCATCATTTGTTATTTAACTCTATTATCAGCCACCCTCATTTGCGCAATTAAATACATTTACAATGTAGCATCCCTCCCCCAGATGCGGATCAGGGTCATATTTTCCTCATCTGGAGCCCCTTTAAGATACTGTAATCAGCCCAGCAGCTGTGGGCTTTCTAATTGAGATGGTTTATAATATCCTCTCCGACCACAGTCAGGCTAGATACATGACACAATCTGTCATTACCACGCCGCCATGGGAGAAGCTGTGGAAAAAGTGAAACCCTGTAATGCCAGAGCTGCAAATTGCCATATTGTTTGTTTGCAGGTTTTTCACTCTGAGTCAGCCAGGCAGCTATATGTTTGGAAACCAGATTTAACAGGCAGAGCATGAGAGAAATAAAAAATGTCCCTAGTGCTCTCATCCTCAATGCTATGCCAAACCCACAGTGATGAGATGCGAGCTCCTCCGCCACATCCTGCTCTCCTCTCCACCTCCGCCCCCATTCGGCTCTTCACTTCCTATTCTGTCCCAGGCTGCAGACGTGTGTGTCCTGGCGTGTGTGAGTGAAAGCAGGCCATGTGGGTGCTGGTGGCTTAGTGTGGGGTTAACACCAATGACAGCTCCACACAATGGTCCTTTCCCCCCACATGGCTCAGCTCTGAGTGGAGTTCTGCTCACCAGACACTGAGGTCATCTACTCCAAAACGCTTGAAAGCTGGTGGTTGCTTTGTTATGGCTACATGCACAGCGACAACACTTTCAAACATACATGCACAAACACATGTAGGGACATGCACACGGTTAAATAAACAAACTCACACTAATCTTAGAATTCTACAGTAAATGTTGTATTGGTGCTTTGTTCTTTCATAAAACGTGTTTGACTGTTATAGTTCTTAACTGAAAATCCAGCCTTCTTCTTGTTAATGGCGCTAACAAGATAGGATATTTTTTCAGGTGTTTTTTAAATGTTATGTATCTATGTTGGAAGTATGTCGCAGTCAAAGTTTTGACTGAAAATATGGCTTGTTACCATTTTACCGGGTTGAACACATCCTGTCTTGGCCCCCCAGGGTGACTCGGTGCCAGCCGGAGATGATGGTCCATTTGCGGACACCGTGACTCTGGAGCAGAAAACCAGCAGCATCGGGGGCACCAGTGGGAAGGTCAGCCTGTGGATGCAGTGGATGCTGCCCAAGGTCACAGCTAAACTGTTCGCTCCCGACCCCACTGACAAACAGAAAGGTACTCTTACCTCCACATTATACTTACCGCTATCTTTTTTCATATACCGGTTATTTCAGTGACTTTTACATGAACTGATGCTAAAGGAAAAATGTAGTTAAACTAATTTAATTTGAGATCTGATATATGTGTGTTATGTGACAATAAAGACAACTCCAAAAGCAGGAGTACTTTTTAAAGTGAATGTTCTTAGGGTCCTTCTGTATCAACACTTATAGTGATCAACCCTACCATGTTTCTCCTCCAGAAGATAAGCAGCCGAATAGAGCAGGGATGGAGGGAAAATACAACTAAATAAATTGTTGATGAATCCCGAACAAACTCTTTTCTCCTTTAGATTTACTAAGGGCAAAGAAAGGCTAGATTTACCTTTAATTGCTGTCTGTAATATTTAGCATCTGCCTCGCAGATCGCGCAGTGGAATTGGAATGTTTGGGAGGACCTCACAGAGATGGTTTGACTTAGTAATATCCTAAATAGGCATTACTTTGGATTTGGGCTTAATATCTGCCATCTGAGTTGCGAGATGAACTTACCACTGACTTCTCTGTGTGAAACACAATAAGCATGTTATTGAAAACTAGAATTGTGTGGACGCAATATATTAGATTCCTATATCAACAAGTACATTATTGGAAATAAGTCAGCTACAGATATGAATGCAGACAATCTGCTATGATGTCATATGTTTTTAAACTGCAAAAGAAATAAGAATCTTGTCTCTCTAGAGAAATGGAGAAAACACCCATTCCACACAAATTGGTTCTGGGTTATACTGTTATGTTATGTTGGAAGATTAGAGGTAGAAATTCAAGCATGAGTCTCCAGGGGCTCTGCTCAAGGCACACACCATCGGAACACTTTCCTTTCTTTAAGACCATTAAGGTTTCCTGTTCTCTTACATGGTTGGTTTAGAAAACTCAAACATCAATATCAACACAACAAGACTTTGAGTTTCAGAGTATCTAAAAACAAACTTTTTTCCACTCAGTGTTCACAATAAAACTCACATGCCTTGTGTGTCAATAATTCGTTAGTAACCTCTGAATTTCTAAGATTTACCACAACAACCAGAAACTTCACATGGATGAAGTCCATTTTCCCAAGCTAGCCTGTGATGTGGGACTTTCTCTGTGGAAACAATGAGGGGAGCAGGCTCCGTTCAATACACAGTTGATCAGTCTCTCTATGAAACTTTCTCACTTTGCCTCAAGTGGGTGGGCTTTTTTAGAGACCAGGTGCATTGAGGCAGGATGATACATTTTAATGAATACATGTACATTCCATGAACATTCAGTATTGTGTAGACACAAACAGGAAGACATTTTCATTATAACAGGCTGAGAGATGTTGTATTCATTTTTTCTTCTTTAAGCCACTAATTTATTCGTTCCTTAGAACGGCAGGTATTGCGTTGAGTGTGCAACAGTATTGTATGTTTATGCGTGTGTATGGGTGCATTTGTGTGGCTCATTGGTGCAGTTGCGGGGGGGAACTGACCACAGGAGTTGAATGAGGACCTGATAAGCTACATTGCAGGGTTCTTGTCAACAGAAATTAAATTCACACACACACACACACAAAGATAAAATACCTTTGAAGTGTGAGTCCAGCTGTATTGCCTGTTTCCCAAGTACAGTGATGGCTATACGGCATGTGTAAACATAAACTCCCTGCACTCTCAGTGCTGCGAACTAAAGTTCCCTTTTCCACTGTGATAAGCTTCATGATCCTAAAATCTACAAAAATATTTGTACTTGTTTGTGTTTTTGCCAGAAATATGTGTCATCAGTGAACTTGAAGACCTGAGTGCCTCAGTCGATGTCCAAGATGTTTATACGAAGATCAAATGTAAAGTTGGCAGCTTCAACATCGACCACCACAGATGCAGGTAGAGTACAGCTCACTGTGCACACATACTGGAGGTGAATACAGGATTCTTATTGTGTGTATGTCACCAAGCACTGTAGGAATGGCTTGGTGACAATACAATGTCTGAATGAAACGCTACTGTGATTAATATGGGAACAGGGCCAGCAGGTCACTTTGCTGCAGCCACACACTCTCTTGCAGTCTGAAGCTAAACACACTTCACCACTAAAACTGTGTCTGTTCCCACTTCTGCTCACATGGGTGCTTTTTCGGATTATCACCTCAGCGTCATCGTCTTTCCAGACAGCTGTTGCAGTGGTGAGCACAGACTCACAGACAGAGGACCCACAGACAGGACTGACGCGTTAAATGGGTTCTGAGCTGGCCGGACTCTGGCTCACAAAGCAGAGATTCAGCCCGTACATCAGTCATCTTTCTCTGAAACACGGGTGGGGGGAGGAAACCACCGGGCGAGGATCCACTGCATCCTTTTGGTGATCTCTCCTCATGACCAGTTCCTGTCACAATGGAGTAGTTTAGCTCTGGGCTTTAAAGAATTATGAATGCATACTGTATACTGTAGCATTGTGAGACTAAGCTGTAACTACAGATTATTTTGTATACATTTGCACGCCCACAACACATGTCATTACCATCAGTTAAAGGGTGGCCTCATTTCAATATCTAAATCCTCATTTCCTGTATTTCTTCCGCTTTGCCATGATCACATACCTCTGGGATGGAGTCAGCCGCTCGGGCTGTGCTCTGTGTACGTGCCTGAGGTCTTGTTCTGTTGGGAAAGGACCACTTAGCAGGAGGCAATTCCCTCTGTCTCTGTGTGAGGAGATAATGCAACAGTGATCTATAACACTCCGGCATTTTGCATCCAGCAGATTGTGTGTTTTCAGGTCTGTGTGCCTACGTGCCTGAATATAATTGTTCCTATAATCTTCTCTGATCGAGCCAGGCAGTGAAGGGGACATGGCCCTTCTTTGGCCCTGTGCTGGATTCAACCCCATCATTAGCAATCAATGCTCTCACCACTGATGTGATAATAGATATGGATTGTGATTTGCCAGAAAACAAACACCTTAGCCATGTACTAGTAGTACAGGTCAGAGAGGGAGGGGGGTGATGGTCTGGCCTTATATCCGACTGTTTTGCAGAACCCCCTGTTTCGCTGAAGGCGGTTGATTTATTTTCAGGCGCATCAACCTCAGCCAGGACAGAGTCAGTGGTCTGACGGTTTTAGAGCGTAAAGGTGTCATTATATCATACTGCTCTGTTCTCCACAGGTGTGTGTCCAATTGTTTCTGAGATAGAGCCAACCTAATCTCTTTGGTAGACCTCTTTGCCTTCCTAAGTAGATAATGGGTCAATTGAGTTATGTCTAGGTTGTTTCAGTTTAATGTGCTTTTAACAACATGGTCTCAACACACTTTTACCGACCAAAGTTCTGGCAGACAGGAGCAATCCATTATCCAAGCCAGGTTATAGTCATGGCTGTTTAGGACACAGTGGAGGGTGTCTGGGCTCCTGGCCCACTCTAATCTGTATCATCCACATACACAAGAGAGCCCACAGAGGTTGAAGTCCATATTAATCATTCTGAGCAGATAATTGTGAGGTATTTCATCACCCTGCCCAGGTTATTTGTGTCTAGTGGATCAGATTAAATCAAGTTTGAAAGAGAAAATCTCTCATCTGGCCTTCAACTGCTGGAAAATGAATGCAAATGTACATATCACAGGCAAATGTGTGAGGTGAATATATAATTGAATACCTGGCTGTAGGAAGGGTGGAGGAGGGAAGGAAAATGACAGAAAAGGAGTCCCACAGGAAAGTATAATCGTGTTCAACCTCATAGGTGTGTGGATAACTACTCATGGCGCAGGTGAATAATAAGGAAACACATAAGTAATTATGTGATTGGGGGGTGTCCCATCACGTGGGAAGGTTATCAATTAGAGGCCACATCTTCTCTTTATTTTAGCCTTGTCTCCCTGAGCAACAATGTTTTTGAGGTGCACTGAAACTCATAGACCCCCCCCCAGGAGAGGAGTTCCAGTGACAGCTCACTCTCTGTCAGCTCACACAGACTGGAGCTGATGTCCTCCAGCTGTTCTGCAAATGGAGCAAAGGATGAGTGGATGGGGGCAGAGAGAGGGAGAGAGAAAAGGGTGGGATGAAGGGAGAAATGAAGAGCTTCAGGAGTCCATATGATATGGGTACTAGGGACACCTAGGGACACCTAGAAAGAATTGCCTTTCACACAAGATAACTCGAAGAACAGGGTTCTCCAAACTACGGCCCGGGGGCCAACTGCAGCGAATGGTCCGTTTTAAATTGGCCTACAGCACATTTTCTAAAAGGATAATGGAATATGGCCCACACATGAAACTTGTGTTTGTCTTTTATTGTACTAAAAATAACGTATTTGTATAACAAGCTTGTAATATACCCTGCCTATTTCACCTTATCACCCCCCCCCCAGCCTCTTTAACCATGTTCAATTATCAAGCAGAATTGACATCTGATTGATTTTGCTCACTTATTTTCTGTAAGTGGCCCTCAGTGGGAAATGTTTGGACACCCCTGTCTTAGAAGTGCCGCTATCTCAAGGAACCCCCAGGATTCTGGTGAGGGGCAATGAAGAAGGAGGGGGGGCAATCTAAGAAAAGCTTAAAAGATATGATGCAGATAACGTTGATCCATGTCCATTGGGTGATACCTTTTGCCATGTGCTGTTCGTGATTGGCATCCTGGAGTAACTGTGATAATGCTCTCGTGTGTGTACAGATGTAGTGTTTATGTTGTGCTGCAAATGATTGTGTCGGTCTTCATATTAACTTCTTTTGATGTCTGCTTTACAGGAGCTTTCTGCCTCTTACAGATGACCACTACATAACAATAATAATACATTTTATTTGAAGAGCGCTTTTTAGGGTACTCAAAGACACTTTAAAGGGTCAAATTCATAAAAACATTATTTATAAAATATATCAAAAACAACATTAATTCAAATGTATTTTATAAACAGGGCTGCACATAACTGGTGCGCAGGTGCGCATGCGCACCTCCGCCAAAAAAAGAGTACCGGGTCATTTGAAAAAAGGCGCATTTGCGTACCAACATTGAGAGAGAGAGAGGAGAGAGAGAGAAGGGAGAAGATAAAAGAGAGAAGAGAAGAGAGGAGAGAGAAGAGAGAAAGATATTTGCGAGTTGCATATGAACTCAGGGCCGGCCCGTAGCCCTGGCGTTATAGATGTTCGCCTAGGGCGCCAGATCTGTGGAGGTGCTGCGCTGACAGCTCTGGGAGGGAAAAAAAACATTTTTGGCCGTTGGGGCTCATCCTAATTTTCGGCCTTGATGTAACAATATTCATAATGAAGTAAATGTAACACCCTTTTCACCCCGGTTACACGTTTCATTTGCCCTGTACGATGGGCGCTGTAAGTGATGAAATTGGGGGATGTTGGCTTATCTGGCGCCCGCAGCTCACAGCCAAAGTGCGTGGGAGCGAGGGAGAGAGAGAGGGTGCACCGGTTCCGGCGCTGTTGTTATTAGCATCTGGTGCTAGCTGCTCTAACGGCTATAAGAAGAAGATGTTTCTACAATGATGTGGAGGGAGAGTCCTCTCCAGTCAGACTGAGAGGCTGATACTACAGCTCAGTGAGGTAAAGGACTCTGAGTGTTTAGATAGTTCACTTTAGTCTAAGTTCAAACGTTTTGATCACAATTTATGTAAACACATATTTCTAAGGCACTCCTTTATAATTATTGGGATAAACAGGTTTGAAATCATTCCAATGTATACTATAGGACAGTAACCAAAAACATCCTTTAAAACTGGAGAGATAAAAAAAATATGCATAAATAAATAAATGTTAAGGTAAAATAAGATATGAATGAACAACACAAATAAAATAAGTTACATTCATTTGTTATTGGCTATGGTAGGTTATTGGTTATGTTCACATACTTATTTGATTACATCCACTTGTCTAAGATGACAACAGAGACTTTCGACCCAAACCCAGCTGCTGACTTGTGAATGCAAGCAGCTAATCACAGACTCAACCAGAGAGAAAGTAGTAGGCCTACATCATCAGCTACCATGTCTGACAGAGAGGAAGACAGTGAGGAGAACAGTCAGGAGGGTAGTGATGACAGCTTGTAGGATTACTGGTCGTGCTAATGCATGCCCGGCGCCGTGGGAGGGCCAGGCCCTCCCATTTGACATTCCTGCCCTCCCCGAATAAACACGTTTTTGTATTATTTATACAAATAAAAAAATATATTTATTTTATTTTTTTAATTATAAATAAACTGTGAACTTTTATGCTACGATGTATGTGATGTCAGAACTAAAAAAAAATCGCAGGCGCCAGGCTACGTCAAATAAATGCATGTGTCTGTTGTGATTTGTGATTCGTCCCCATTTAGACCAATCACAGCGTCACACTCTGCCGCCTATTCTGGATTTGTTTATTGTGCATTCTGTAGACTCCCATTTCTGTTTGCATTACAAAATGGACATCAGAAATTGGCTTAAAAGGTCTAAGAATTTATTAAAACGAAATAGCGATGAAAGAACTGCAGCCGATGGTGCTGCTGGCGACCCTGCACCTGCCGTTGCAGCAGCGCGCCTTAATGTCACAAGCTTGACCTCGGCAAACCCCGGGCTGAGTTAGCGATGATCTGGGGTTAATAAACCCAACCAGGTGAAGCTGGATCGTTATCCAGGGAGATTGTTTTCAGGAAATAACCGCACTTTTGCCGGTCTGTTGAAGATTCGTTAAAAGCAGACGCAGCCTTGTGTCTTCATCTGATGCGGCTTTTACTGTCAAAGGTTTATGCGACTGGAAACACGCATTACAGACTGATAAAAGACTGCTAAGGCATGCCGTATCAAAAGAACACATTTCATCTGAGAGTGTGCGGAGAGAGAGACAGATACGAGAGGAAACAAATAAGGAAATTAGAACTTTGGTGCAGATCAGCTGCACGGAGCCGTTATTACGTGTCAGCTGTCGTTGATATTATAGCTTTTTTAGCTGTCAACCAACTCCCTCTCAGAGGTGACCACGATTCACTCCACAGCATGTCCGAGTGCAGTGCATCGGAACATAAACCATGCCCAAGGCGGGCTAAACAGCTCATCGACTCCGTCTCTACTATTTCTCTCCGAGTGCAGCGATGAGGAAGCTGCCATCCTTAACCAGTGTGCCTTGCTCGTGATTTACCAGTGTCTGTGCTGCCACGCACACAATGTTTCAAAGTGGTTTCTACGTTGCCCTTTATTTGTGTATGTTTGCGATAAGTGTGCGTCTTTACGCAATGCTGTTGGCCTTGCTGTTTGATATATATTGTGCCGCAGGCCCGCAGCACGTGACGGTTTTGTGGGCCCTCCCATGAAAATCATAGGCCCTCCCTTTAGATTTGTTCTGGCGCTGGGTCTGTGCTAATGTTGTCTTGTGTTCACCTCTGCATGTGTGTTCTGTGTTCACCTCTGCATGTGTGTTCTGTGTTCACCTCTGCATGTGTGTTCAGTGCTGTGTGTCTGGCAAATAAAGTCAAGCCCCCTCAAAAGTTACGGTTTATTTAATTTTAAGGATGAGCACCAAGCAACATCTCCAGGTGCTCCTTTGAGAACCAGGGCAAAAAAGTTATGTGCACCCCTGTTTATAAACATCTTAAAGTGCTGTCTAAAATCTAAAAGTGACTTTCAATACATAATTGACCTGCATTGAAGTCCTAATGTATGCACGCTGCTATGCCTAGTTGTTTTAAACAGCTATAGGCTGTGGCTCACTTATCTCAATGCAATGTAATAACTACTGTTTCTATTAAAGCGATATAAACAATCATGGCCACAACAGTACAGCGTGAGTAATCCTAGATGCCCAGTTTAAGCTTGGCCTTGTATGTGTCTCCAGGCCAGGGCAGGGCTTGCACTCTGGCTCCTATGAAGGACTCATTCTGCAGTGCAAGGAGACAGCAGTGGTGAGGTCCTTATCAGAGCCCCTGCACACTGAGCCTCTGCTCCGCTCCATCCGGACCCCTCATTGTGTGTGTGTGTGTGTGTGTGTGTGTGTGTGTGTGTGTGTGTGTGTGTGTGTGTGTGTGTGTGTGTGTGTGTGTGTGTGTGTGTGTGTGTGTGTGTGTGTGTGTGTGTGTGTGTGTTGGGGTGTGATTTGGAGTAGACTAGGACTTTTTTGACTCCATTTTCTTGTTGCTGAAATCTTTTTCTGGTTATGGTCTTATACTTGTACATAGCAAATACAACTTTAGAGCAGAGCTAACATTACCTGAATAGTATAATTAAACAATAAAGAAGGGATTGTATATCAAACTTAAAGATTTATAAACATTTGTTTTTGTACAGGAGATGGATTTTGAAGTGGCTTTAAATCTTAAATATTCATTCTGCTCATCCTAAAGTTAAACAGTTGCCAATTTGCTTAATACTGCATAGTATAAGACCATTCCATAATGGCAGCTGATTCAAGCTGGTCCAACTTCCTTTGGTTTAATCAGGGAGCATATTTAATTTTCACAATGATTTTGAGGTTTCATGCATTTCTTTCTTTCTTTGTCTTTTTCTCCCTACCCTTCTCTTTCTGTATACATGCTTTTATCTTCCCCCTCCCTGTGACTTCTTGCCTTCTCTGTCTCTTTCCGCATCCACCTTCTCTCCTTCCCTCTCCTCACCTTCAGTAGGGAGGAGGGAGTTCAGAGCTCGTGCGGCAGTGGAGGAGTGCTCCTCTCTTGCACTGACAAGCTGAACAGACGCACTGTGTTGGTTCGACCCGTCAGCAAGCAAGAATCTTTCAGCCACTTCTCTGGCTTTTTCCCTCCTGTAAGAATGTAGCCCTTCTCCTTTTTAGTTGACTCTGCTTAAACTCCATTAACAGTGGCTAAAATAATGATGTGTGCTTCTCAGAGAGGTTTCAGAAGCCAGTTATTTAACTTGGTTTAAACAATTAGGATTTTGCTGTGGAATGTTTTAATTATATTATTGGTAAAATCACAAATTAAACAGTCATACATACATACTGCTGCAAAGGACACAACCTAAATGGATTATAACTATATCTCACACTTCTAAATTTGAATAGAGCATTCCAAAAGGGTGCAGATTTTATGATAATTTCCAGTTGATAAATGACTTTACCAACATTTAACTGTTACCGGATGTTTTTGCAGACTTTCTTTTAATCATGCAACAGTTGGAGATGATTTGCTTTTACTGAATGGGTAGTTAAGTGATTATCCCCCTCTTATTGCTTCCCAAATAAAACATAAGATTGGTAATCTTGCTAATCAGATCAATCTGAAGTAATTCAGCCGCAGGTTTCACTATATATATATATATATATATACATATATACATTACTTTTCATAGAGTTGGCTGATTTCAGGATCCAATCTTAATAGCAGAATATAAATAGATGTGCTCTTGAACGCTTGTTTAGCTAGTAGCTTGAGCTTCAGCTTGAGATGTTTATGAAAACACAGACGGTTGTTTCTTGTTGTTGAGGTTAAGTGTTTTCCTTTAAAAAGAGCACTGTTTAAAGTAAATGCCATGAGGCCCAATTTTTGGAATAAAGATTATAAATCAGCCATTATTAACCAAAAGAAGTTTTGATCCAACAGTGTGAATCTAGAGTGAAGTTATTTTGTACAGGATTTACCCCTATCAAATAAATCAGCTGAGAAAGAACAGCATAGTGTTTGTGTCTGCTATCGCTCTGTGTAATGATAACTATCATCAGTGCTATTTGTCTGTCTGACCGCTGGCCAGACTGCAGCCAAGGTCCTGGAGGTCTCTCACCAGCAGCACGGCTTCCTGTCCATCACCTACACCCAGGCTGTCACCAAAAATGTCCGTCACAAACTCACAACCCGGCCGGAGAGACCCCCACGCAGCGGTGCTACCACCAGCAGTCAGCGGCTGACCTCTGACCCCCTGGCAGACAGCTCCCCCCAGTACCTGAGAGAGATCCTGCTGACAGCTCAGCCCTTCGACGTGGTGCTGTCCTGCCCCTTGCTGGCTACTGTAGCGGGGGTGTTCCAGGTACACGCACATTGTATTGTCAGTTCCTATTACTGTGTGCTATGCAGGCTTGAGCCTTGTCATCCACATATATGTTTTTTCATTTTTCAAGTGTGCATGAATAAATGTCAATATTTAAATACATTTTGGATAATAATTGCACTAATTTGGTCAATCTTGTAATATACAGCAAGTTAGTTTAAAGTCTCAGTCAACAATTATATGCAATTTAAAGGTGACTCCTTCATTTATTCATTTGTTTTGTCATTTTAACCAGCCATTAAGACAACAAAACGTAATGATAAGATGTTTTGTATTTCATAATTAAATATATTTTACTGGATGTCTTTTCAGGCTACGGTGCCCAGACGCTACAGAGAGCGTGGAAAGACAGCTGGTCAACCAATGAGAATCCACACTCTGAACTCTCGGAGTTTACCCCTGATGTACATCAACACCTCCGTGATCAGGGTCTTCTGTCCCAGTGCACGAGAAAAACACACAGCATCAGGTTAGAGAACTACTTTTCTCTTTTGAAAGCACATTTGTGTTTTCAAACGGAAAACAACAGGCTATGATTTAGATTCTGTAAGTCTGTGGTGCGTGTATGAAGGTCTCTGTCATGGCCGCCCAGACAAAGCAAAGACACCACATTAGACAGTTGCAAAGACAAATAGTTGTGGTTCCAAAGAACCAACCACAGTTATTTACACTCCTACAAATATAATGCAATGTCATATTGTCATAGATCGATGTTATGTCTGCTGGTAGTAATGACTTATAGTGGTAAGAGTGTGTGTGTGCGTGCGTGTGTGTGTGTGTGTGTGTGTGTGTGTGTGTGTGTGTGTGTGTGTGTGTGTGTGTGTGTGTGTGTGTGTGTGTGTGTGTGTGTGCGTGTGTGTGTGTGTGCACGCGTGTGTGTGTGTGTGTGTGTGTGTCATCATCATGCCCTACTGTATATGTACTTGTGTATATCGTGTGCTTAGTGTGTATTCACCTTTGTTTAAGCTTTGTATTTGCATAAAGGATATTTCTGTGTCTATATCCATATTTACATTATGATTGTATTTGATTGTGTGTCCCATTAGATCCTCAGATGAAAAAAGAAGACACTCTGGTGTTGAAGCTGGGCTCCCTCAGCATGGCCCCCCAGGCGGACAACCCCCTGACCCGCACAGTGCTGCGGAAAGACATCTACCAGTAAGAACAGCTCTCCTCCTCCTACCCACTCTCGGCTCAAATCACACTGTATGGTAGATACTATATGGTAGGAACAAATCCTGTTTAATACAAAAGCAATTATAGTCCACCATGTGTGGCTTTGATTCAATCAAACTTTTTATTTCATTTTAAGTATAACATTAAAATGTTATGAAATACATAGTATAATCAGTCACATGTTAGTTTTGTTAAGCAAATCAGTACATATTTTACATGCTGAATAATTTAACCCAAACATAAAAGAACATAGTCTTGATTTAAACCTTTGACATGATCCTTACGTAACGTCCACACGGTTCCGTCGCGTGCTTCAACGGAGACGCTTCCCATTCACTTTGAATGTGGTGACGTCAGTCTTTGCCGAACTGCATTGTGGTTCCGTCGCGTCGCTTTGCCTCCGTTGCTCGCTTCGAAAGTTGAGAAAGTTCAACTTTTCAAACATCGACGGAAGCGCCAACCAATCAAATCATATGCCAGTACAAGCGCTAGCCAATCAAACCGTGTGCTTGTGTGTCCGGGGCGGGAGATTAATGTGATTGGTTGTTGGTCGCGCGCCAGACACGCCCACCGGCAAGCTTCAACGCCACGGAACCGTGTGGACGTACCGTTACTCTTCTCTTTACACACACTTTCAGCTCCTACACCTCTTCTGTTGATATACAGTATCACTCTCCATATGGTTGTGAGGCAAGTGTTTTGGTGAATGTGTGTTCAGATGTGCATGGTGCACTTCTGTGTCCTCATGATGAGAAGTTTTCAGGAGCAAGTGACAGCGCCACATAGTGGTTAAGCTGCCCTAGCAGTGACAGAGCAATGAGTGACACCTTGGGGGTCTGCCGGGCCCTCCAGCTGAAACACAAGACTGTTGACACAAGCCCCCCCATGCCATATGGATCAAAGCAACTAGGCAGGGAAAATCTGGAGGGAAATAGCTCTGTACAAAACATTTCCCTGCTATAGGCAGCTTAAAGAATCTGGATTGTGTCATAGCTGCCTCAAAACCGCAGCCCCACAGCTTGTGTGTGTGCGAGAGAGAGAGCAGTTGTGTGAATGGGCAGATATGGAGCTGGCAAACACACGTAATGGGGAGATAAAAGTGGTGCCAAATGCTTTGTACAGCTGCGAGTGAGATGTGGGCTGACACAAGACGTGAAGTGGAGAAAAAAAGAGGTGGCCAAACAAAAGGAGAGGAGAGGCCACTTTAGGCTTCATTTCTGCTGCAGTTGGTGGAAGAGTCACATGTGGGGGGGGGGGGGGGGTGCTGCCTGACATCTGTAACCATCAAGGCATTCTGTCCTACGTGGTCCACAGTTTTTCCACAGAAGATCTATCTCCTTCACAGTGTCTTGTTTGTTTTCTTTCATGGATCGGAGTAAACATGTTGTTGATCAGTAACCGTAGCAACTGTTCTGTAGGGACTTTTGGGGATATGTTTTTTATCCTCTCGAAAACTACACCATCTAATGTACTAAAATGTTTTGCTACAAGTTATTACAGCTAATGAGTAGTAACTACTCTGTTTCCATGAAAACTGGGCCTATATTTATTTTGTTGACATGTTGGCCATGTTATCATCATGTCAAATGATAAATGACGATCTTGCGGGCATGGAAAATGATCTGGAGTTTTTCTGAGACTTTCAACCCAAAAAACAGTTGAAACAGCCGTGCAATTTTACCCCATATTGGCTAGTAATGTTGTGCCTGTGGTAGTGAGAGGATTGGTGGCTGTGTGGCTGTGGTGCCCACATCTGCTCCTACACAGAGATCGCTTTGCATGCCCTGCCTTAGCACAAACATGCTACCATAGGCCCTCCATATGGCCATTCAAAACACAGAGTCTGGTACACATGCACTCGCAAACAATATGGTGTCTTCATTCAGTCATGCATACAAAAACATATTCTAACTATGCACAGCAAAATACACATACATGCTCTGTCACAAACACTAGCAGCAGGCATGGCTGTGTGTACAAACACACCCATATTCACTTAGCCTCTACACACAGAAGCCAAGAGCCACCACTTCCCTCTCTGCAGTGAAACCCAGGTATTATGTCAAACCACTCTCTGTGTTCATTCTTCCATGTGTAACCGTGCATTATCCTCACCACCTACCCTGTTCACATCGGCCCTCCAATTTAGGACCATCTCACTTCTGACTCACGTGATTGATAACCCTGAGATCAGGACCTTGTTGACATACACTGTTACGTGCTTGATCTGTGCTGAATTATATTGTGTTTGCTCCCCCAAGTCGTGTAGAGAAAGTCAAAGTCTGTAATCATGTAAACCAATGTGTGTTTACAATCTATAATCAACTGTGGCTATAGCAAGAAATATGTCCATAAGGGCCGGTAGCCATTTGCTCGGTTCTGTTTAAAGCCCACCACTAATTACATCCGCTGTCATAATTGACTGACTGATCTAAGCAGCAATGGTGTTTTTGTCTACTGTACATGAAATGATTGCCTCACAAGGTCTTAAAGCAGGATTTACTGTAATGACACCCTGTGAGAGAAGATGCTAAAATAGCGAGTACGTGTAAACATCCTGACAGAGCATGTCTTGATACTGGTCCACTAACACTTATTCTGACACACCTGCTTCAGCTTCCCTTACAGCCTCTACATTTGCAGGCTACAGTGTGTATTTTCATTTAGAATTGATAGATTTCCTCAAAGAAGGTAAAATAAACCTGTTTGACTATAAAACTGTGTAGAGCTAGTTGACATGCACCGTGTCATTTGGTAACAATTACCACTGTTTCGTTTGATGTTGAAACTGTTTCCCTGAAGGAGTAGGTCCCCAGCGGCTTCTTCACTAAGCAGGAATTATGACACAGATAGGCTTCCCCTGTTTCTCCCTCTCCATATTCCACCACTGCCTCTCAAGGCCACTGTCAATTTACACAGCTGAAATCATTTTCCTGTCTTGAAAAAGTGTTTCCAAGTACTGGGCCCCGGCCTGGATAATGTCCAGCATGCATTCAGCCCTGACTTTCTTGTGGTTGTGCATGTCACAGATCTTTTACTCCATACTCCTATTTTCTCTCATCCTCCCCGTTTCTCTTATTTTTACAATGAGATTTTTTCACTTTTGGAACACTTCATTTAGAGCTTCTTGTATGGGTGGATTGGGACCTCTCTTTCCAGAACCATGTGGAGATTGAGTTTTCCGGTTTAAGGGCATGGAGACACATGTTAGAGTGTCTAGGGTTAAAACATAAGCTTCCAAATATTTGAATTATCAATGTGTGTGTGTGTGTGTTGTGTGTGTGTGTGTTTGTGTGTGTGTGTGTGTGTGGTGTGTGTGTGTGTGTGTGTGTGTGTGTGTGTGGTGTGTGTGTGTGTGTGTGTGTGTGTGTGTGTGTGTGTGTGTGTGTGTGTGTGTGTGTGTGTGTGTGTGTGTGTGTGTGTGTGTGTGTTAGTGTACACTCCTGCGTTTCTACGGTAATGGCAGACATGGCTGCTGTGGCAGTTGTGATGCAGAAACCAAGTCAACATGATCAGTATCAAGGCCTCTGTCTCTTTCTCCGCCTCCTGCAGTGTTCCTCTCTTTCCAAAGTATGTCTGCTCTTTTTTTTGCCCATTACTACGTTTTATTCTCCCTACTTTCTTTGTGTCTGTCGTTTGTATCCCACTACTCCAACATATGACACCGAGCTATACCCACATCAGCAACTTCTCATTAGGGCCCGAGCACGAGAGCGCTAGGACCCAACGGCATCCTAGCACGAAGTGCGAGGAACCTATTGTTATCCAAGGATTTTTTCTTCTTCCTGCGCTTTAAACCTGTTTTTGAGGGCTTTACGACGCTTCAAAAGTTGTATAATTTTGCACGGACGCCAGGTCCGGTGAACATTTTTACATTCTGGAGTCAATGGGTTCAAATTGTCCAACATGCTCGCTAGCGCCACCTATATGTAAATAATTTGGGAAAAAATTAACATAGTCACACCGTAAGTCCGTTTGACTTGAGATTTTGCACACTTATCCGGGGGGACCTACTCTACATTTGGTCCTCTTGAACCTCTAAGCTCCGCCTACTTTGATTTTGATTTTGATTAGCATAATGTTCCAAACAGTGAAATATTCACTTACATTTCAATGTTTAGTTTTTCGACACCAAACTTAGTATACTGCATCGTTGGAGGGTCAGACACATTACCTTAGGAGATGAGCATGTTCAGTCAATAAATATGGCCGCCATTAATCAAAACGTATTCGCAAAAAGGCGGGGCTTAGAAATAAATGCTCATAACTCATCAACAATGTATCCAAACATCACAGATTTTGGTGGATAGGTTCAGTCTGTCTTGGGGAATACGCATACCATTTTCATTTTGGACTATAGGGGGCGCCAAAAACAGCACAAATGTATAACTCAAGAACGCACGGACGAAATAAAAAAAAAATGTTTAGACATACTTTGGGGGTGAGTATGAACTGAGATTCAAAGTGTCGCAACAAATGACCAGGGTTGGGTTTTAACGGAATACATATAACGGCGTTACGTAATCAGAATACAAAAATCAAGTAACTGTATTCAGCTGGCGTTACATTTGAAAAACGAGTAATCTGATTACAGTTACTTTCGTAAACCTGAAGTGAATACATTTTGGATTACTTATTGGAATTATTGGTGGAAAGATTTCCTCACAACATTTAATATTCATTACTAAAGGTACAGCCGAATCATCACAGCCAACAAAACCTATTACCGCCGCAGATGGACCAAAAAAGCGTTTGAAAAAAAATCGCGGGTCCGCTCGCTCAGTGAAACGATAACAGCGAAACATGGAGGAACACAAGTCTGCGTTTAAATCGCGTGTGAGTGTATATATAGGTGTGTGTGGTTAAAACACATCAGCCTGCGGTCGCTCTTTCTTTAGCCTTACTAATGATTATTTCTGAAGGTAAACACAGTGAAGGCGGTGCGTGAAAGGTGGTGTGTGAAAGGTGGTGCGTGAAAGGCA